CCGTGATGAGAGCTGTTGCGGTAAGCTTGAGCCGCTTCAAGAACAACCAGACTGTGATGCTGCCTCCGCCGACTAGCGATGGACAGCGCGGTGATATTCTGCAAGAAAAAGCCATCCGTTCTATCGCTCGAGCGGTGGCTTCGCGACCTTTCGTCCTGATGCTCGTTAATCTTGGAGGGGTGCATTGGGCTGGTATTGTCGTGGACCGAGATGATAAGAAAGTGATCACTTACGACAGTTTAAATGGGACCAAGAACCGAAAGAAGTTGAAGAAGCTGGCGGAAGATATCATGAAGAAGGCACTGCAAGGTGAAACGTACAATGAGGTGGATGTTACGAAGCCGAAGCAGAAAGACGGCAACAATTGCGAAGTCTTCGTGTCGCTGTTCTTCTGGCGCTGTGTGAGCGCCGAAGCCCCGAGTGATGTGGTCCTGAGTGATCTGTCTCCTTCTGGTATTACCAAGCTGCGCTGGGCTCTACTGCGCGCGATTTTGAAGATGAAGCAGCGTTAGAGTGGTGAAAAAAAAAAGAGATGTAGGAGCCTACACTCGTAATACATTTTGATACCTGGCGAAAACCTGGAAAATACCTGTTTCGTTTGATGACGTTCGAAGTCTTAGTTGCAGACACACTTACCGCCGACACAATGAAGTAGCGCTCACTTCAGCTTTTTCTCGAGTTGGACACATGTGAATTGTCCAGGTTTTATACATGTAAAGTACCTGGTCCCCATCAGACCAAATTGGTTGGCTGCGAGACACTCTTCCCAGCTCACTTTTACTTTTGACTTTGTACCGTTCATACGCATTTTCCAATTATTTTCAACTGGACAATACCTGACAGTGAAACCTCAAATAAATTACGCCTTCTGATTCAGCGATACCTGTATCAATCCTGGATCACAACCTGGGGAATACATGGAGTACCAGAATTCTGAGTATTTTTTGGATCTGGGATACCCGGACGCCAAGGTCGTCCTAAACTTATCCTTACCAGAAAAAGCTGGGCGGGTTTTGCGGCAGGGTCAGACGTAAAGTTTGTCAATATTGCTCAATAGTGCACGATTTTAAGCATTAGGCATGCCTGATGCATGGCATTTAAAGTGGTAGTGGCCTCGTTCTCGAATTCGCTCTGTAGGACAAGCTATTGTCGCTCCAAAGTTGGTACATATTGACGTGTTCGCGAGTGCTGGTGGCTTCTCCTTTTTCAGGAGCGTAGGTGCTTTATTCGTTAATAAGCAACGGTTGACGAGTGCCATGCCGTGGCACAGTATTACAATGAAACGACGTCTGGAGGGTCATGCTGCCCTGCCGATTTCTCCAGCAAGACGCTGTTTTCATCGAGGTGTATGAAACTTGTAAATGCATATCCGATAGTGTGTTTATACGTAGAGCTAATTCAAACAGTGATCTTCATGAGCGTACAATTTCCCCTCCTTGTTAGTGCCTACACCTCCATTTAACATTAGAGACACACTGCCTAGAAATGGAGATCTCATGGCAGCCTTGGGCGACGGATATGCTCGTAGATGTCTAACTAGCACTAGATGTAGGGCACAGTCCAGCTCACTTTGATTCTCTGACACGATTAAGTGCATTTTTAAAACTTGCTAGCGATTTGAGCTCTTATTCTTGATTTTAGTAGAGGAGCTGTCATGAAATGTGGTACGGATAAGTCAGTCAAGGCAGTCTTTGTTAAAAAAAAAAA